TGTTTTGCCTCTTGAAAAGAGATGGGATTGACCGGTAATGGGTCGGGTTGTTTAATATTATGTTGTAATATTGTTGAGAGTGGAGAAAACCTGTTTTTGAAAAACTTGTGTTTAATTTCGGGGACGAAATTCTTTAAGGGGGGGAGGTTATAGCGATCCCAGTTGCTCCTTTACTGTTCTGTTGTATTCCGGACTCAGTTCCGCGGAGTTGTTAGTTGTATCAATCTTGTTGTCATCCTTTAATTCCATTTGTTCGGGTTTTAGGATGTATTGGGCAGAGTTGTTACAGGTTGGTTAGGCTTTGGTTTCAATTCTTTGTTGCCCAGTTTTTAGGAGGTCCGCTCGAGCGGGTCTTCTTGCGCTCGAGTAGAGATTGCACGCTCCCAGTATTTTGGTGCTCTGCAAAACTTCTGCAGGCATGTTTTTCACGCTCAAGCGGGTTTCCTTGCGCTCGAGCGGGTACTCTGGCGCTCGAGCGGGTAGTACTTTTTGGTGTAAGTTCTGGGAGGGGGAAATCTACGCTCGAGCGGACTGGTTTTCGCGCTCGAGTGGATATACTTTATTCTTGTGTCTTGGCGCTCGAGCGGGCCTTATTGCGCTCGAGCGGACTTAGTTTTTTGTTCTTGACGCTCGAGCGTTGTGTTCTCCGCTCGAGCGGGAATGTCGTATATCAGTTGGCAGCTGGGCATTTTAAACTCACTTTTTACATTCTCTCTCTCTCTCTCTTACTTTCTAAAAAGACATTTTGAGAGTTCCTCTCTCTAGAAACTCCCTTCTCTCTAGGGTTTGATCTAGTTAGAGTGTTTCCTTTTCCTTCGGCCTTTGTAAAATTTGGGTTGATCGTCGAGGGATACACATTGATCTGAGAATATTGAGTTTTGGAGCACGTCGAGTTTCTTCACCTTCTTTCCTTGAGCTCTGAATTTGAGGTAGGGATTCCTACTCACTCTTGTGGTCTTTGACCTAGATTTTTGGTTATTTTGATAAAGTGTTGAAGTTGGGTAAAATTTGGGACTTAGGGTTTCAAAATGTTAAAAGAGGATTTGTTATTTTGAGTCTAAAATGTGTATTGTGGGTTCAAAATAATAATATCGTTATTGGTTGTTGATATTTAGACCATTGGGTCAATATTTGGGAATCGGGTGGAAAGCCCTAATTTTGGGAAAAATGTGACTTTATGGAATTGAGTTGGAAATAATGAAATTGGTTCATTATATGGTTGAATAGTGGAGTTAGATTTATTAATCGCTCACTTTTGAAAACATTGATATTTTATCTGTTGGAGCTTTAATTATCTGTTTAGAAATAATTGTTTGGGCTACCGGTGGAGGGTAGTTTTGATTGTTGTAGACAATGCATGATGATTAGGCAAACTAAAACTAATCAATTGAATATGTCATAGAGTATGACAGTTGATAGAATACATTAATGTTATGTATTGATTGATTGTGTATATGACCTTTGTGTATATACGTTGTGTGTGTGGGAGGAGATAGGGGATGTACTCCACGGTTTAGGGGAAGATAGGGGATGGACCTCTAAACCGGATGTTGTTTGAGAGGAGATAGAGAATGGACTCCACTGATACAGCTCATATGCTTGTCAGATAATGTGTTGATATAGCTCATATACTTATCTTTGGAAGTGTTGATATAGCTCATATGGTTATCTTTGGAAGTATTGATATAGCTAATATGCATATCTGTTGAAATGTGGATACAACTTGTATGCTTATCTGTTGAGATGTTGATACAACTAGTATGTTTATCTATCGTAAAAATGGGAAATGTTTAATATGAGTCACTGTCTCATCTAAGTGGTTGGCCAGGTTCTGAGCCGTTGATGTAAATTGTGGAATTGATAAGAAATGGAAATTGAAATGAAACATGAACATAGTGGTCATGAAATGGAAATGGGTTATGAATTGGTTTATGGAAATTGAACATTTATCAGTTGCTAATGTCTTAGTCATTGCTCATACTGTGTTTAGCATATCTCTACTGGGTGTTGGCTCACCCTTTATGAGACATTATTTTCAGGTACAGGTAGTATGCTACCTCCAAGGACATAGCTTGGATGATGATGAGAGTTGAAGACTCTTTTTTTTATTTATTTTGTTTGTATTACATGTATCTCAAGCCAAGAGCTTATTTTGTATAGAGTTAGTACTCTTCTTTTGTGTAACCAGGTGTTGACTTGGAAAGCTGTAAGCCCATAGGGCATTTGCTTTTGTTGTTAACATGTAATACAGTTGTAAGAATTACTCTGATGAATAGAAATGGTTGGTTTCTTTTATATCAATGCATGTCTAAAGTGATGGGTTTTATGTATTATTTTGAGGGCGTTACACTAATCATCATGCAATTTCTACAACAATTAAAGCTATCTTCCACCGATAGCCTAAAATAGATATCTCTACTCAACAGATAATTTTCCAACAATAGATATAATCTCATAAATTTCGAAATGGAAGCGATAATATATATTCAACTCCACTCTCATCATCAATAGATACATTCATCTTCTTTTTTCAAATCCAACATCTTTTCCTTTCTTCATAAATCAAACATCAATGATTTTCCAATAAAACATCATTTACTTTCAAAATCACGTTTAAGAAAGGTGTTTCCAATATTTCAACCAACTCAACAATAGTTACACTCCCACAACCTTTTCCAAGAATCCATTTGAAAAACCTCTCTTTTACATTTTAAAATCAAACCCTAGATTTAAACCCAAAATTCCCAAATCACTAAAAATTTTTAAAGGACAAATAACCAAGCTAAGAATCATACCAAAGATTGGAAAAATCCTTACCTTAAGAGTAGAAGAAGAATATAGTAGGAGTATAAGTTTGACGGAGCCAAAAACAAAATCTTCTTTGATTAAAACAAAACTTTCTACGAGCTCTACCTTTTTCTCTAAAGCATTTGGATGGCAAGATCAACGGATTAGGGTGTATTTGAGGTATTTAGGCAAGAACTAGAGAGATGTGTGAAGAAATTAGATTTAGGAGTGTTTTATATATATATATATATATAGACCACTCGAGCGTCAGACACAATAAGTGACACCGCTCGAACAACCAAAACACTAGTGCACAATGACCTCATTTCAGAAGTTCAAACCTGCAAAAGATCGCTCGAGCGAAGAAAAGACCGCTTGAACGAAGAAAAGACCACTCGAGCGAAGATCGCCTTATTTCCAGAAGTTTTACAAACCTACAAAATACTGAGAGATCTCAAAGACTGCTCGTGGGACCAAAGCACCGCTCGAGCGAACAAGAAATGAAATGGACAACAACTCTTTCGAAAAAAAAAAACCCAATTCTCAACCTGTTTCAAACATTGTCTAAACAACCAAACTCAACTAATAACAAGAGGATAATGGTATAAATAACAATTAAATGTATGAAATCTTGGATCTAAGAGCATAAAAAATTTAGGGTCTAAATTGGAACCGTTATATCTTCCATGGTAGAACCTTAATGCAAAATAATGGTCAAGGAAGATTCTTAATTAAGTAAATCCCCCACATTAAGGTAAAGAAAATACTAAGAATAATAATCTTTCATATTCTATATACAATTTTTTATATATACCGTAAATAAAATATATCTAATAATTGATATTCTCTCTCTTAGATATATTGTGTAATACATATATATATACATATATATTATAATAAAAGTGTAAATAATCTATATAATAATTCTAATGTGGAAAAAAAGATTATTGAAATATAAGTTTAAATATATAAGACTTGATAGGATATTAAAAAAAATTATGAACTTAATAAGTTATAAATCTACTAAATAAAACTTAATAAATAAATTTTTCAAAAATAAAAAATAAAAATATTAATTAATTATGGAATCATATCAGCCAATCCCCATCATTCCAACCACAGCCGGCGTATAAAAACTCGGTGGATTTAGCATTAAAAAAAAGAAAAAAAAAAAAGAAAAGAATTGCAGAAGCAGAAAAACAGGAGTTATTGTTTGACGTTCACACCGCCACGTAATGTCTTTGCTTGGTAGAGGGGTCGAATCATGAATTTATGTGGAATAATTAAAAAATATAAGTAAAAATAATAAATTGTAATTGATAAAAAAATATAATTTAGATCAATCAATAATTTTTAAAAGAAAAGAAAAAAAAAAGAAAAAAAAACCCTAATCATGGAGGGGATGACAACCCTCCTCCTTCTAGCCTTGATGGCAGCCGCCGAAAACCTTAAAAAAAAAAAAAAAAAAAAAAAAGTTATATATATTGATTAATATATGCATTAGTGTATTGATAGATGATATGATATTATTTGTATAGTTTTGAATATAGTGGTGTTACATGCACTAATTAGTGTACTAACTAGTGTACAAACATTAGTTATGATATTATTATTGATCACACTCATTAATCACATTATAAATACCAAAAACTTCTTAAAGTATAACACATTATCACGTGGTACACTAATTACTATATTAGTTGGGGCTTATAATATTATTCTTTTGAATATTTTTAACTTGTATAATAAATATAGTTAATAATCTATTATATAAAAGAAATGATCTTTTAAGTCACAAACCTTATGTGAGCTTTATTATTCTAATCCTAAATTCTTAATTTTTTTAATTAAAAAAAAAAATCACATGTAAAACAACCCGAAAAAAAAAAAAAATTGATCTCTCTGTATCATCCCATATCTCTCTGTCTTTCCCACTTGTCTTTCCACCCACTCCACCACCACAATTGCTCCATTTTTAAACAATTCAATCATTAATTACAGCAAATTAGCAATGTTACATACACTGATTAATTCATATATATATATATATTAATTAATGTTATGATATTATTATTAAGTATATTTATTATAAAAATTATAAATATTTAAAATTATATAAATGATGTGACATTACCAATTAATAACTAGTGTGTACATTAAGGATATTATTCCAAGGCAAGTAGAACGGAATTTGAGTTTGTTTTCATAGTCAAAATTGAACAACTTGGATATCAGGTTCACACTGCCTGTGGGTTTGCAATTAGAATTATTTTCTAATATATGTGCCATAATCAATTTATTTAATTTTCTTTCATGAGACTGCGGATCAAATTCTTCCTCCAATCGCTGAAATTGTACTCGTAACCAATCGAAGACCACCCCCATTCCCTCAAGTTTGCGTTGCAAATCGTCTGTTCTTTCTACGGCTCATCGTCATCTCCTCATCAGAACATGACAGGTCGTTCACTCTCTCTCTCTTTCTCTCTCTCTCATGATGTTTCTGCAAAGAAACAGCAAATTATTGATGGGTTTTCATTTTTTTCAATCACTTTTGTCAATATAGTGTATTTGGGTTGTATTTAGATTTATTTGATAAGAAAAAAACTGGGTTTAATGCTATTTTATTGTTATGCAATTTAAGATACTGTTTGTCAGTGTTCTCATTTGTTTTCTTTTGTCCAATCTGGAACACAAAGCAAAGAGAATAGAGGGATCTGGCTATTTTTTCTTTTATCATTTGAGTTGAATTAGGACTTGGGTTTTGGGTTTTTGGAACATAGAAGTGCTACTTTTAGGGAAATTCTTATGTAAAGTTTGGATTCGAGAGTAATTAGAAGTGGTGTGTTACATTAATTTGGCTTTTATGAGGTACACATGTGATTGATGTTTTTCATTTATATAACAAATTTGATAAAGTTAAAGACTGTGTTTGGCTGTGGAGAGAATGTGGAAAAGTGAAGCTAAAGTGAGAATTTGGTTTCTATTACAAACAACCCATATTTCAATTAGTCAAATATTATTTGATTAAGGTTTTTCACATTATGACCTTAATCATCTCCACCTCTGAGATTTTGCTGAAATGAAAAAGGAAAGTGTCACTGCAACCCAAGCAATTGTTGTTTTTGAAGTCAGTAACCAATCTACTTACATTCTCTCTAGCCACAAACAATGTTTTCTACTTCAAATGTTGCAGAGCAGTGACAATTCTTTTTATCTGGTATTGGTTTGATTGTATGATGTTATAAGTTATAACTCAAAAGGCAATGATAGGGAGTATTATTAGCAACTATCTTGCTTCCTGGTCTTTTTTATAATATTACGTACCTCAAGGCTTTTGGGTCAATTACTTTTCTTAGGCCGTGTCTGGATCATAAATTTGGATAGGGGTTTGGAAATAGAAAGGAAAAAGGAGAGGACAATGTGAATAAAATATAAACTAACTTTTTCCTTCATTTCCCTTTCCCTTTCTAAATCTCCATCCAAATCCATAATCCAAACACAAAGTTAAGGATTTTGCATTATGGAGTTTGATTTAGCAGTTGTTCTTTTGTCTAGCATAATACTCATTGTGGATGATTTAAATTTTTAGGTGCTTACATATTTTGCAATTGCAAACGAAGAAATTCGAAGGGTGTGAATTATTGTTTAGAATATACGTATAAGATTTTTGGCCTTCCGATACTGACACCTCGGTTTACCGATGGGAATGAAAATCGGTTGTGTATCGGCCGATACACCTACTTAATAGCCAATACAATTGGTTCGTGGCCAATATGATGATTTGAAAAATTCATGGATGTGTCATTTGATTCCAATATGTAATGCTCGATCCTGCTGATACCCGCTACATCATGACTAATATCAATTTATCTTTGATATTGCTATTTAAAACCTTGGTATGAATAGATTCTATAATTATTGACTTGCAAGTTTTCTAAGATATAATGAATTCTATTCACACTTCGATTACTTGGTAGTAGAGAGCATATTGTGCTAAATCTTTTCCCCTCTCTAGGGCTGTATTTAGGTGTTAAAACTTCTTTATGTTTAATGCATACCCATCCTTATTATTAGAATCTTATGATTCGCTATTCCATTTGTGATTCGTGCATAGAGGAATACGAATATGTGGGTGAATCTATTTTGGGATAGAATCTATAGTGAATTGCACAATTTACAATCGATTCACGATACGATTTACTTTTTATGATTTACACAATTCTTAAAACTATCGTCCTTGTTTGGTTTGTCTCTTGAGAGATAATTTTTGAGAAAAAAATTTAAAAATTTGTTTGATTAAAAATTTTTGAAAAAAAAAAGATCCAAAACCACTTTTCTCTCACATCTTACACATCAATCTATCACGTTTTCTCTCACATCCATCTATTCAATTACAAAAAAAAAAAAAAAAAAAATTAAATCATCTCAAACTCCAAAACTATTTTCAAAACATACAACCAAACAAAATTAATTTTGTAAACTCTTTCTAGAAATTTATTTTTCAAAATTATTTCACAAATACAAACCAAACATAACTGTCGTGTCTGATAGATTCCGATCATTTTTTACCTTTTTGTTTTAGTTAAAATAACATAATACAACTTCTAGGACTGGCTAGTACGAAAATAACTAATACTTTTATATACGTTATTTTGGTGGTCATGGAGTTTTTAATAGGGTTCAATCAAGCGCAGTTAGGACCCACCTTGTTCTTAATATTTTTTCTTCATTATTTATTTATTTATTTATTATTCAGGATTTTTGAATAATTTTAATTTTATGGTTTTTGAATAATTTTAAGGTCCGTGCACATCTCTTGTTATATTGGACGATGTTATCATATCTTTATATAAGAATTATTTTATAATATGTGCCAAAATCAATTTATTTTATTTTCTTTCATATATATCATTGTTTAACATCATTTTTTTTTATAGCTTGTATTGACTCTTCACAATTCTCAACTCAATTTGATTCAATTCATGATTCACAAAATTAGGATTTCTATTCACGATACGATTCTTGAAACTATGAAACTTGAGTTATATGGTAGAAGTTATCTATGTTGCTTTACAACCTCTGCTAATTTCATAAATTGTTCTATGATTTTCTTTAGTTCAATTGGATTCTTTTTATCTTGATTCAGAAACAATGACATTTGAACCTATCCTTTTTAAGAGATACTAATACACTTTCTCTTTTGTCATTTGCACATACAGATAACCAAGGGCCAATATTGACAATAGATGGAACTTCGACCGACCGATCATCATTGCTCAAGCTTAATCACTGGCAACGGTGGCTTTTGGTGGCTCTTAACATACTTTTTCTTCTTGTTGGTCAAGCCGCTGCTGTTCTTTTAGGAAGATTTTATTACGATCAAGGAGGAAATAGTAAATGGATGGCTACGCTTGTCCAAACTGTTGCTTTCCCAATGCTTCTAATCCCGTATTTTTGTCTCCCTTCCTCTCATGATCCTTCAACTGCTTCTACCTCTCCTTCTATCCCCATCATTTCCTCAATCTACTTCGCTCTTGGAGTACTAATTGCAGGTGATAATATGCTTTATTCCGTTGGACTTTTATACCTCTCTGCCTCTACTTATTCCCTCATTTGTGCAACCCAATTGGCGTTTAATGCGGTGTTCTCTTTCTTCATCAATTCTCAGAAGTTCACTGCACTAATTATGAATTCCGTAGTTGTCCTTTCCTTATCTGCTTCTCTCATTGCGGTGAATGATGAGTCTGATAAGCCATCTGGAGTCTCTAATGGGAAATATTTCCTCGGACTCCTAAGTACAATCGGAGCTTCTGCTCTTTATTCTCTTTTGCTTTCCCTTATGCAGCTTTCATTCCAAAAGGTTTTGAAAAAGGAAACGTTTTCTGTGGTTTTGGAAATGCAAATTTATACCTCGCTCGTAGCCACATGTGTTTCTACTGTGGGTCTTTTTGCCAGCGGGGAATGGAAGACTTTAGAGGGAGAAATGGATGGTTTTGGCAAGGGGAAAGTCGCTTATGTGATGACGTTGGTGTGGACAGCCGTGTCTTGGCAAGTTTGTTCTGTTGGTGTGGTTGGATTGATTTTCACGGTGTCTTCTTTGTTCTCGAATGTTATCAGTACTTTTTCCTTGGCTCTTACTCCTATTGCTGCAGTGATTTTCTTCCACGACAAAATGAACGGTGTAAAGATAATCGCTTTGCTTCTAGCTCTTTGGGGTTTTGCATCTTACATCTATCAGAACTATCTCGACGATCTCAAGGTAAAGAAAACACAAAGTGAGGTCAGTAAGGCCACAAATGATTCAAACTGTTGATGATTTCTGGAGGATAACCTTGAAATAATGCACCAAACATCATTGTTTAGAACTGTCGATTATATTCAACTGTGAGTTTGTAGCGTATGCCTTTATCACAGTTAGGAGATTTTACAGAATTATTTTTTGTTGAATTGTGGTATATGATCAATGCCCATTAGTTTTAATGAAGCTAACCAACCATGTTCTATACGTGGATCTGGTTGTTGTTTGGTAATAAAGTCATTTTCTTGTGATCTACTTACTATTTCAATTCGTTCCGTTTTGATTGAAAATTCTGCACCTACCTGGGCTTTGTCCATAGAACATTTGTTTGGAAAGTATTGCAAATGGGAAAGTATACAACTCTTGCAGTTACAACTTCTAAAATGATGGTTGGACATGCTAGGGTCTATAGGCAACTGATTGGATTATGTTTGTTCTTGTTTTCTCTAGGAATGAGTAACAGTGATTGAGTTTGGGTACATTTTAGAGCAATATTAAGGGTTCATTTAGTGCAACTCTTTGCAAGCTGAGAGTTGATAATAAGAAAAGTATTCATTTCAGTTTTTTAATAATTGTGTGTTTTTTTTTTTCTTTTTTTTTCTTTTTTTAACTTATTAAAGCTAAACACCCTCCAAAAATAAATAAATAAATAAATAAATAAATAATAAAAAATTAGAAGTTGTAAGCACTCTTGTAAGTTGCAGCAAACAAGGCCTAAGTTGGCCCTAGTTAACTTGTTATGGAAACCAAGGGGTTGGCCTGGTCGAGGAAGCACTCCTTTACCAGGGCGTTATGCTAGGGTTTGAGTTTCACCGTTGTGCGATGCAACGTCCACTTCTCTTGTTCTCCCATTATTGATTGTAGAAAAACAAAAATTGATTTGTAATGAAACTTCGCTCAACTACAGAGATCTTATTACTATTTGGGGTTGCTAATGCATTTGATGTACTGAAATTTTACATTTGTCTTTTGATTTGTGTTTAGTTTAGTTGATGATATTTTTGTAGACTGTGTTTGGATTATGAATTTAGAAATGAAAAGAAAAATGGTAAAATAATTTAGATTATATTTTATTTACATTTGTCTCGGCTTTTCATTTTTCCCCCCTCTAAATTTCCACCTAAATTTATTATCAAAGATAGTCTAAGGGTTTGTTTTGGATGTGGGTTGACTTTCTGATTTTTTTTGCTATTTTAACTTGGGGCTAAAAAGCTTTGTTTGAGATAGGCTTTATGGTTGTTTTGACTTTTGTAAAAGAAAAAATAAAATGTTTATAGTTTAAATGTGATGTTTTGTTTTATTAGGTTAAAAAACTTATTTTGTTTTTTTGTCGCTAAAATAACCAAAAAGTCAAAAAGTTTGACATGCCAAATGAAGGCTAAATGAATTAATTACTGTAATGGCATTGGAAAATTGTTCACTGTCTTTAAATGATACTGAGGTCTCGTTTGTCAGTTATACATTTTAGTTAAAAAGTTAAAAAGTCATTATAAATTATTATATCACTCTCTATTTTTCTGTACATATTGTTTTTAAAAAAAATTTAAAAATTATTAAAATAATCTATTTCTAAACGAGGACTCAAACCAACTTTTTGATTATCAAATACAAGTTTTTGTGGTAAGTAAAGGAGTAACCTCTTTAAATAAAGTAATTATTGGTCCAATTGGTTATATTTTCATTTTTTATTTTAATTTTAGGGTGTTTTGGAAAGATAGTTAAAAGTTATTTTTTGATTTTTTTTGACTTTTTTTATAAGAGATGGGAAGTGGGTTAAAAATTAGGAAATAACTTCTAACCCACTTTCCAAAATAGGCTAAAAAAAAAAAATATTTTCTGAAAATAACCCACATTAAGGAAACACTAAAAAGTTGTTTTTGAATAACTAAAATCTATTTTTGCAAAAAAAAAAAAAAAAGATGTGTTTTTTTTTCTTCTAAACTTCACATTGTTTTTTGTTTCAATATATAAAAGACAAAAATGAAAACATAACAAAAGTATTTGTGTTGGAAAATAATGGTTTTTGATAATTTTACTTTTAAATTAAAGTGAGACCTAACCGCCTGTTGAGATGAGTTTGAGTGACTTTGTATTCTCTTAAGGGTTTGTTTGGGATGTGAGTTGGCTTTTTGGTTATTTTAACCTGGAGCTAAAAAGCTACGTTTGATAAGGGCTTTTTTGACTTTTTGTAAGAAAAAGATGTTAATGATTATAGGTTGAATGTGATGTTTTGTCTTATTGGATTAAAGAGTCTATTTTGTCTTTTTGTGGTTAAAATAGTCCCAAACCCAACCTAACCCATCTTCCCAAACAGAGGCTAAGTGAGAAAAGTTGAAATACAGAAATATTGAGCTAAAACCATTAAGTTGTGAATGTGAATTGTCTCATAAAGTTGGTATCAATAGAAGTTGGGCTCGAGTCTAGGCTTGGACTTAAACTTCGACTTGGACTTAGTCTTAGTCTTAGTCTTAATCTTGGTTTGGATTGGCCTAGGCTTGTATATGTCTTGGGCATGAGCCAAATTGTACTATGCTGGGCTGGGTTTGTCGTGTACATATTTTTTAGATTGGGTTTGGATTGGGTTATAACCCAACACTAGTATCCATTTTGAGACCCATCTAGTTGGATTATTTAAATAGTATTATATATATATATATATATATAATGCAAGGGAGGTTTTCAATCTTTGTAACTTTCATCTTTTGATGATAGAGTTGATGATCATATTATGTATATAGGAGTTTTGCATCTTTGTAACTTTAGCCCTTATGGCTAGAGTTGATAGTCATTGATGCTAAGTTTTATAGTATCCTTCCTGGACTTAGATGGATAAGATAGAAATATTTTTGAAATGAAAAATTTGTGATTTTCTTTAAATAAGGTTAGAAAAGATTTTTTATACTAAAGAAAATTTTCTATCTTTTTTGTGCTAGCTTCTTCTTTAATTCTTGTTAGAGAGAGAGTGCTGTCATTGTCAAGTTCGCAGAAACTATTTAGAAGGTGCTTCTGCATTAGTTGGTTTCGACCGTCATATCTTGGGAGATAGACGCCGACTGTCACGACCCCAAACCGCCCCTAGTAGTTTGGTGCCGTGATGGCCAGTAATCCGTGATTACCGAAGGCCAACTTCCAAATTTCACACACAATCAGAGTATAGATATAAGGGCTCACAAGTGCGGAAGCAAAATTTAAAATACAAGTGGTCCATACGAGCTGTGCTTAAGTCAGATGAGATAGCAACCATTTACATATGGGTTATAACTTAATTACAAACAAAGCAGAATGCAAGTTACATTTTTCGTATTAGCAAAGGGCCCCACAAGCCGACATAAACAAATTGTACGAATTACAAGTCTAAAAACACAGTCTGCCAGGTTGCCGACATCTTCTTTTCCGACATAACAATCATACAAAAACATACATCTTTATCAAAAGGCTTCTCAGCCGACGTGTTCGAAGTACAAATATTACAAGTCGAGAAGCATGATTTTCAAGACTGCCGAATTAAATGCAGGTTAAGCCGACATAATCAAAACCCAAAACAAGCTTCAGAAATCACATCTAGGCGTCACCGCCTTCTTGTTCATCACCTACATATATATAGAGAGGGTGAGCTTGGATACTCAGTGAATGGTATAAATAATAAATTATTTAAATAGCATTATATAGGTTTTCAATCTTTGTAACTTTCATCTTTTGATGATAGAGTTGATGATCATATTATGCATATAGGAGTTTTGCATCTTTGTAACTTTAGCCCTTATGGCTAGAGTTGATAGTCATTGATGCTAAGTTTTATAGTATCCTTCCTGGACTTAGATGGATAAGATAGAAATATTTTGAAATGAAAAATTTGTGATTTTCTTTAAATAAGGTTAGAAAAGATTTTTTATACTAAAGAAAATTTTCTATCTTTTTTGTGCTAGCTTCTTCTTTAATTCTTGTTAGAGAGAGAGTGCTGTCATTGTCAAGTTCGCAGAAACTATTTAGAAGGTGCTTCTGCATTAGTTGGTTTCGACCGTCATATCTTGGGAGATAGACGCCGACTGTCACGACCCCAAACCGCCCCTAGTAGTTTGGTGCCGTGATGGCCAGTAATCCGTGATTACCGAAGGCCAACTTCCAAATTTCACACACAATCAGAGTATAGATATAAGGGCTCACAAGTGCGGAAGCAAAATTTAAAATACAAGTGGTCCATACGAGCTGTGCTTAAGTCAGATGAGATAGCAACCATTTACATATGGGTTATAACTTAATTACAAACAAAGCAGAATGCAAGTTACATTTTTCGTATTAGCAAAGGGCTCCTCAAGCCGACATAACCAAATTGTACGAATTACAGGTATAAGAACACAGTCTGCCAGGTTGCTGACATCTTCTTTGCCGACATGACAATCATACAAAAACATATGTCTTGATCAAAAGGCTTCTCAGCCGACGTGTTCGATGTACAAATATTATGAGTCGAGAAGCATGATTTTCAAGACTGCCGACATAACATGCAGGTTAAGCCGACATAATCAAAACCCAAAACAAGCTCCAAAAATTACACCTAGGCGTCACCGCCTTCTTGTTCATCACCTACATATATATAGAGAGAGGGTGAGCTTGGATACTCAGTGAATGGTATAAATAATAAAGGGGTTTGCATGAATAATAGCCGAGGTCCTTTCAAAACATTACAAGACAAAACTCTATATATATAACAAGGAATGGACCTTGTCCATCTAACAGATCTTCAAAGTTTCAAGGGATACTTACTAGCATCACATATTACAAATAATAGCATTTCGGCAAACATATCCACGCAATAACCGTCCGTGGCAAAACAAGACAAAGCTAGATAGGCATCTCAAGCAAGGGTGCTATGAAAGTTTAGAGTCCTCTAGCACAAGGGACTTTCAAGACAAGATGTGCTGCGAAAGTTTAGAGTCCTCCAGCACGAGGGACCTATGTTACAAAGGCCCGTAGCCCTTTAACACTAGAGTACAAATCAAGGGTGCTGCGAAAGTTTAGAGTCCTCCAGCACAAGGGACTTTCAAAACAAGATGTGCTACGAAAGTTTAGAGTCCTCCAGCACAAGGGACTTTCAAAACAAGATGTGCTGCGAAAGTTTAGAGTCCTCCAGCACAAGGGACTTTCAAACAAGGTCATCAAGATAAACTCATACTTGATATACAAAATAGGGACAATTATTCATGCTTTACAAACACTTTCAAAACAAGACAAAGCAAGGTTTTTATCAAAACGTA